TATATATATATATATACTTCCACATATGTACATATTCTCATACATATAATCACATTATGCACATAATTTTCACACACCAGCATGATCAAATGTATCAATTTATCATGCTATCACGTAATCATTTAATCAGATAATCACATATTAATTACCTTGGGTGATAACCAGAATCCAGTTATCACACATTTTTTTAGACTTGATAATAACAATTTGACGAACAACTGAATCAGGTATTGGAAATATGTAAGAAGAGAAAATACGCAAGTATTGACTCGAATAAGTACCTGATCAGAGAAAGTATGTGTTTCAAACAGAAAATAAAATAAAAATCATTTAAAGTCTGAACATTTAAAGAAAACATTTAATATACCTAGAAGTTGTCCTTCTTCTAAGCATATTGAGAGTAAGTTTAAAAAGATATACCTAAGAATGATGTTAGATCAGATACGCATTGTGATGTGCTTCCCCTTAACAATACAACTCCTAATCTCAAACAAGTGGTTAGAATTTAACAGTTAAGAATAGTATATCAGAATTATATTCAAAGTTAGACACAGACTTAGGCTCCCCCTCAATAGATGAATCATATCTTCATATAGATAGATTTAGCATCCCAAGCTTGCTTACTGAAAATGAAAACCTTTTCTCATCGAGAGGTATTGTAGAAATATCAGCAACTTGGAAATCTGTTTGTACAAAGTACATTTCAATAGATCCTTTCTCAACATTATCCTTGATAAAGTGATATCTGATATCGATATGTTTGGTCTTAGAGTGCTGGACTGGATTAGCAGTTATAGCAATTGCGCTCTTGGAATCACAGTTGATAGGGACTTTGTTGAAAGTGTATCTATAGTCTTGTAGTTGTGTCTTCATCCAAAGTACTTGTGAACAACAACTAGTTGCTACAACATATTATGCCTCTGCAGTAGAAGTTAAAACACAATTCTGTTTCTTAGAAGTGCTTTTTCTATCCATCTTACAACCTATGTGGTCATAATCTGTAAAAGCAATTAGTTCAAAACCAGAATCTTTCTGATACCAAAGGCCAAGATTTTGTGTGCCTTTAAGATATCTTGGGATTCTTTTAACCACAACAATGTATGACTCTTTTGGATTATCCTGATATCTTGCACAAAAGCATGTTGAAAACTTATATCTGGTCTACTTGACGTTAAGTATAATAAAGATCCAATCATGGCACGGTAATTTTGTTGATCGACAGATTTACCAGGAAAATCTGCATCTAATAAAGTTCCAATAGCCATAGGAGTCTTTATTGAAGAACATTCAGACATATTGAACTTTTTCAAAATATCTTTGATATATTTAAATTGATTTATGAATATTCCATTGGGGAGTTGTTTTACTTGAAGACCACAAAAGAAATTTAACTCACCCATCATACTCATTTGAAATTTTGATTGCATGATGTCTGAAAAGTTCTTGCAAAACTTAGAATTTGTAGAACCAAAAATAATGTCGTCAACATAAATTTGTATCAAGATCGGATATTACCTTGCATTTTTAGAAACAACGTAGTATCGATCGTACCTTTCTTGAAACCAGACTTGAGTAGGAATTATGTTAAGGTATCATACCATGCCCTAGGTGCTTGTTTTTAACCATAAGGAGCCTTGTCTAAGACATAGGCATGATCTGGCTTTTGAGGATCAACAAAACCTGGCTGACTCACGTAAACCTCTTCATGAAGAATATCGTTCAGAAATGCCGATTTGACATCCATTTGATATATCTTGAAGTTCTTCTGAGCTGCATACGCCAAAAACAATTTGATAGCTTCTATGCAAATGACTGGAGCAAAAATTTCGTCATAATCTATTCCTTCTTGTTGACAGTACCCTTTTGCAACCAATTGGGCTTTGTTTCTCACAACAATTCCCATTTCGTCTTTCTTTTTTCGAAAGGCCCATTTTGTACCAATTATAGATTTATCCTTCGGTCTAGGTACAAGTCTCCAAACTTGGTTTCTTTCAAATTCTCGAAGTTCATTTTGCATGGCATTAATCCAATCAAGATCTCGCATTGCGTCAGATGGCTTCTTTGGCACTATAGCGCTGAGAAAGTTTACGAACATACACTCATTTGTGGTAGCATATCGTGTTTGCACTCCTTTGTGTTGGGGGATGATCTTTAGTCCAATTGTGAATACAAGGTAAGGGTTGAACATAATTAAGTTGTTGTGATCATCATACTTGTCAATTACCGCTTGAATTTCAGCTTCAATTTCTAAGTGATCAGCTTCATCAGCAGGTAAAGTAGACTCAGATTGAGTATGTTCTTTGGATTGAACAGGCTCAGATTCAGTAACTTCAACACTTTCAGGATGAACAACATTTGATGTTGAACAACCAGCTTCAGATGGTCCAGAAAGTTGTGTAACTTGCGAAATAGGGACCACTGGCTCATTCAATTTGGGTAAATCAGATATTTCAAAATCTAGAAAAATATCCCAATTTAAATCAAATGCTTTTTTCAACAATGAATTTAAATTTGATCTAACAGTAGAGTCAGAATTCATTGTCATGTTCAGAACGGGTTTTACACTGAGAGATGAAGAACATTAAGAAACCGAACAAATTTTTATTATTGGAAAGATTACAAGCTCTCAATCTCACTTAATTGACTATCATTAGAATTACATGAATTATTAATTACTAATCTAAGCCCCATGCCACCTATTTATAGGAGATGTTACAAGTAAAGCTCAGAACCCTTAAGCCTAAATACAAGATACAACTATACAATACAACGATAAATGCCTTTATAAAACTTTCTAAAACATAGGACTATTTTGGTCCTAAAAATCCCCCCCTCCAAAGTTTTATAAAGCAAGCATCTCTTGAAACTCCAAGTCTTCTCCCCCATGCTTTCTTTAAGAAACTTTGGTATGTCTGGTATTCATAAGATCTTCAAGCTCCCCCTAAAGATAGCTCTTACTCTTTAAGTTTCAACTTTAAGATAAGATCCAATGTGAATTAAGCACTACCATTTGCACAAAGTACAACTAAACTGCAGACAACTCAACACAACCTTGAACTGCAGAATTATCTCCAATCCGTTATCTATAGATTCATCCAACTATGGAATTGATAAATATGCAAGCCTCATGACATTCCAATGCAAACAGTCTAAAGACAAAGAATCTTTCAATGAACCACAATTTGAATAGGCATTCAACTTAAGAACTTAATCTTGGTAAGCTCACAATAGGGTAATCAACATTTACTTGAAGTACCAAAGCAAACACCTTTGACTTTGTAGATCTGGAGAGAATAATCAACAATAAGCACATAGCTTCAAGAACAACAAGTCAAACCAGATAGATAATTCGATTTCATTTAATCTTTCAGAAACTGAATAACCAGAATCAGATCCAAAATTCTCAGCCAGAAGAATGACGATAAGCACTGAAAACTCTTAGATCACAACCATAGCATCAGAACAATGATTATAGGCTATCAAACCTCTAATTGATCAGGTTAGAAGGATGACTAAGAACACTCAAAATTCTGATAATTTTCAGAACCTCCAGAACACTGATTGCAAACCTTCAAGACCTCTGATTGATCAGGTCAAAATAAATGAGTGAAGGCACTCAATGATCTAACCTTTTGTAGGAAACTCTAGAGAAATGATTGCAAATACTCAAACTTTAACTAGTCGAATCAAATACTGAAACCAATCAAGCTGTTCTGAAATCATTTCAAATCTGGCTTTAGTCCTCAAATCACAAATTGGTTGACCAAAAAGTCAAACTTTGACGTTAAAAATAATGTTGACCAAAATTTGTTGTATGATGCTCTTAAGGGAAAAATTGATAAACATCACCTTAATCATTAAGTTCATGATGAATAAGGCTAAGATATTCAATAAGCACAATGGTTAGGTACAAGAGTCAATACGGACAAGTACTCTTATGATGGGAGATGAGCATAGGTAGGATTGCTCATCGCCCATGCCTTAGGCAGAGAGGCACAAGAACCTTATCGCTCATGCCTTAAGCGATGAGCAAGGTCATCGCTCACCTCTTGGGCTACGAACGAGGTTATCTTTCATGTCTTTGAGCGTATACATCGATCTTCCAAACATTAACTTTCAACTTCATCGCACAAAGAATGGGGTCATTGCTTGAAGCCTTGAGCGATAAGAAGGATCTCTGGACAACACTTTATCGTACACAGATAACAAGGCTGTGAAGAGGTCATCGCTCACCACTTCCTTGCTTGGTGAGTTGAGTGATGAGATCTCTTATCGGACAACACATTGAGCGGATACAAGCATTAACGCGCATGACTTAGATGATGAACATGTTCTCCATAAAAGCTTTGAGTGATGAGCATACTTTATCACTCAAAACTTAGTAAAATTTCATCCAAGTCCTTAGGTAATCGCTCAATCCCAAGTTACCCATAATAATATTTTGTCTGATGAGCACTATACTGCTCAGTTCTTCATATCTTCTTTGGGAGATGAGCACCACTTCATCACTCAATGAACATCTTCAACAGACGATGAGGAAAGTCATTTTCCAAATTAAGCATAGTTCGACTATGATCCATTAAAAACACCAAAATTACACAATTGACTTCAAAATTGATGATCCAAACAAGTTCAAATTCACCTAAATGCTAATCCTTTAGCATTAAATTGATTAAAAACACTTAGAACAAGGTGAATTATGATCTATTATGCTCAAGAATGTCGAACAGGAAGAAGATGAGGTTCTGAGTATTATTCTATTGCATAAGCAGAATTAATACTTAAAATTGTTGTTCAATCGAATGATCGTATCAAGAAATTGATCTGATTCTACTTTGATAACAAATGTGATCCCAGATTCAAGTCTAATAACAACAATTCTATCAAAGATCAAGAATACAAAAGTTGATTTCAATATGTCGGCATGTCATTCATGTCAAAAGTGTACATGGTGTTCTTGATACAATGTCTTTCTCTGTCACTTCATAATCTATCAATATGTTAACTGTTTGTACGTGTGAATTCAATCAACCATTTTTTACTAACTAACAACTACTATTTATAGTAACCGATTATAAGGAAATAAAACTACCATTACAAAGCATGTAAAACAGTTTAGGCTTGGGACTTGAATACAACATTTAGACCTAACAAAGTGGAATCAAGATGAGGAAGAATAGATGTGCTCAATGTCTAAACGAGTACAACAGCTTTCAAGCTCTTCCTGATGAGTCCCTGGAATAAAAATATCATATGTTCAACACACTCATCAACAAATGCAAGAAATTTGATGTGATTAGAACCCAGAAAAAGAACAACATGTTGTTCTTGAAAAGGATGAATGAAGAATGGGCAAAATTGTCTATGTCTTTGCAGGCAAACTAGGACTTGGAGCAATGGACGTTGCATGATGTTTATGGTACATTGCAGGCCCATGAGAAAGAGGTTCAGAAGAAGAAGACAACTCTGGGTGGTCCTCTATCCCTGGTCTCTGACGCTAAAGAGACCAGCTCTACAAGGCCATCCAGAGAGAAGAAGACCAGAGATAGTGTGTACAGAGAAAAGAAGATAAGAGAAAAAAAAATTTGATTGCTAAAAGTGATGAGGAGGACAGAGCATTTGGCTCTGAAGGTGATTATATTAGTGCTTTTGCATGATCCTTGGCTCTCATCACCAAAGAGTTCACAAGGAAGTTTGGGAGAAGATCGTTTAACAAAAGAGGCAAAGAAGAGAGGAAAAAAAGGTTCAAGAAGCAGGTGTACGAGCCAAAGCAGGCCCCTCCATAGATAATAAAGAAAGAGGAAGACCAACTTAACAAACCCAAGCAGGATGATAGATGCTATAGATGTAGGAATTCTGGTCATTTTGCTGCAGAGTGCAAAGGCCCTCTGGTGAAGGATGGTTTATACAACAAAAAACAAGTACAAGTACAAGCGACCACAGAGAAGCCTAATGGCTGAACAAGAGAATTGGGTCTCTGACTCAACTTCTGATGATGAATCGTAAGCACTCTTTTGCGGCATGGTCGTGGCCAATGAAGATGAGACAGACATGTCTGCCTTTGATTCATAGATTTCCTCTACACCAGAATATGATCATACATAGCTTGAACAAAAAATCGTTATTTTATCACATGATTTTGAAAAACTTCAGCAGAAGCTCCAAAACGAGAACGAAAAGAGAAAATTAATTGAAAAAGAAATGAAAATGTATAAACGAGAAACAAAGCTTCTGACTGAGGAGAAAAAGGAGCTCTCTGTGGAAAATCAAAGAATTTAAAAAATCAAATCTCCCACAGAGAATGTCTTCAAGTTTGAGTGTGATGAGCTTAAAAAGGCTCTTGTAGAAAAGGACAAAAAGATAGTGGAAAGGAATGTGATAGACTTAACTCTCTTTCTCTCAAAATTATTTTCAAAAGGAATGAGAATTCTTGCACCATAGCTTACAAAAAACAGAGCTCTTGATCAAAAAATATCAAGATGCTCAGCAAGTGCATGAAAAGATTATTTCTTAACAGGATACAATAGGTCTAGGATTTGAAGACCTAGACACTTTTACCTGTAAGAAGAAATCTACCTTAGAATCTGTATTTTGTTTGGGCAAGAAACATAAACCAGAATTTCCAATCTTATATGGGTCATCTGTTTTTAAAAGAACCAAGTTTGAAATAGGAGCCAGAGCTAGAAAGTTAAAATTTAAAACATATCTTATTCTTCTGTAAATAATTCATCAAAAACCAAACAAGTCGATTTAAAAGACATACAGAAGAAGGATAAAACTTTCTGCTTTGATAGCTTTGATCAAAAAGTTTTAAATCCTAAGGCTGATGAGTTCTTCCTTGAACAAATAGATATAAGGTTAAGAAGAAGTTTTGAAAAGGATTTATTAAAAACTATGGATCATAGATTAATGTTAGATCATACAAAAAAAGTTAGAAAGACCTTTGAGCATGACTTGCTTGAAGCTCTGGATAAATGCTCTGTATCTAAATAAAGTAAACCAGAGATCATCATGAGTTGAATGCTAGATTTAAACTCTTCCATGCAAAAGGATGTAGATGGTTTTGACATATATCCATGGGAATCTCAAAATCTTGATCAAATGAAAGAACTCTCCAATGAAGATTTTTTCAACATCAATACAGATGAGTTTCTTAAATCTTTCAGATTGCCACAAGAGCTTAATGATGATTCTAACATCGCAAGTAGCAAACGAGATTTTCTTGATTCTAACTTTGAGTCAGAAGAGGACTTAGATACAGAGCATCTTGAGACAGATATAGTAGCATCAAGACCAGAAGTTACAAAACTTCCAAATGGGATTCCTCTTAAATCTGTTTCGATTATGGTATAGAGGACAAGATTCCCATGAATCATGACTTCATGGATATGTGCTTAAAGGCCAAATCTTTTCATGAGCTTGATAAAGATAAAAAAAGCAAAAGAAATAAAGTCTAAAGCCTCTATTCCAAAACCTTCGAGTTCTAATTTTCAAATGCCTATCAAGTTCATACGGGGGCAAAAGGAGAAATGGGTCGCT